AATAAAGATTTAGGGGAAAAGCAATGATCTAAAAGCATGAAGAACTAATTCTGAAGATAAAACACTGAAACATAACTAGAATAACGAGACGCTGAAAATACTGAGACAAATACAAACACATGAAAAAGCTGCTAGTAGAAATGTCTAATAACAGCACTGATGTAAAATAATCATAGTGTTTGTTCACCTGTTGACACCTGCAACTGATGATGCTCACCTGGTTGCCGTGGTTACTGACTTAGTGTCAGTGTGTTTAATGTGATCAGCGCTGAAGATGTTAAGGTTCTCGGATCAGCAGTTCAGAGTAAAGACCTCTGTATGTCCAGTAGGGGTCACTGTCTGTCTATCCGTCCGTCTGTCTACCTGTCTGTCTACTCACCTGTCTACTTGTCTGTCTAATTGCCCGTCTGTCTGTCTTCTGTCCCTCAGATAAACCCGACCCCCCAGCAAAGGTTCCTGCGGCCTCAGATATCCGGCGCTCCAGCCTGACGCTGTCGTGGTACGGGCCGACCTACGACGGAGGCAGCGCCGTTCAGTCCTACAACCTGGAGATCTGGGACTCTGTGGAGCAGCAGTGGAAACACCTGGTTTCCTGCAACAGCACCTCCTACAACGTACAGGTGTGTTCCTGCTCACCTGCACACACAGCCTACAGACCGTTAGAGGTTTAACAGTGTGTGTTTCTGTCCAGAACCTCCTCCCAGAGCGGCAGTATAAGTTCAGAGTCCGAGCAGAGAACATCTACGGAGTCGGAGAGCCGAGCGCTGAGTCCGAGCCGGTGACTGTCGGCCTGGTGGATGACGGTGAGAACCTCTCTGACCTGTTTTCGGCTTCATTCAGTCCTGCAGAGCGTTTTCTGTTTCAACCGTCATCTGTGACGGACGTCAGGAGCCCCCAGAAGCTCCTGCAGGTTCAACTGGACCACACTCGGTCTCAGTAGTTTATTTCTTCATTTTGAGAAGTCTGAGGACTGCTGAGAACCTGCAGGAGGTCTGAGATTCAGACAGACCTTCACAATGCTCTGGGCTCTGAGCAGTAGTTTGTGGACGTTGTGGTTTCAGCCTCATTTTTCCTCACTCTAGTTCATGTTTCAGTTCAGTTTTATCTGTGTAGTCAGTTTGCATCACGTCACCTCACAGCCTGAACACAGTCAGGTCCAGACCTCACAGATTCTAACAGAGAACCAACGGTCCAGAGCAGCCTCTGGACTCCCTCTGAGCAACGGTGGGAAGGAACCAAAACCCCCAAGAGGGAGGGGANCCAGGACAGGTAACCAGGACAGGTATCCAGGACAGGTAACCAGGACAGGTAGCCAGGACAGGTAACCAGGACAGGTAACCAGGACAGGTAGCCAGGACAGGTAACCAGTCCATCACAGAGACTCACATTCACACCTACAGACAGTTCAGAGTCACCAGGTAACCTCAGCATGTCTCTGGACTGAGGGAGGAAGCTGAGAACCTGGAGGGAGAACGTGGAGGCTCCACCTAGGAAGATCCCAGACCCAGACCAGGACAGGTAGCCAGGACAAGTAACCAGGACAGGTAGCTGTGAGGACACAGGCGAACCAAACTGAAAACATTCTGAAATTAATAAAATTAAAAACAACATAAAATACAAACTAGATCATCAATAATAACAATAGTAATAATAATAAAAAAATACTGAAAAAGTCTAATTATAATAAAAATGGTAACGGTAGAGAAATGTGTATTCAGAATGATTGAAAAACGTGACATTGAACAATAATAAGGTCAAAAAATCAAAAATATAAACTAGATTATGACTAATAGTAATAAAATATTAGAAATCAAAAAGATGTAAAAATATTACAAAGAATATTGATTTGATAAAAATAGAAGAAAGATGACGTAATAATAAT